AATATTTTAATTTACCAAATCATCTTGATTTTTGTCCAACCAAAAAACCATTGTCTTCGATATTAAGTTACAGCAGATTATAGGGTTTCCCATCTACTACAAGCAAATGGATAATTAACATGCAACTTCTATACCTATATGTAGTGGCGGTGCCTACCTCGATAAATTGAACCGTCACTTTTCACAGGCCCAAAGTGATCCCTGAACCTTCGAGTATCAGTAAGAATCAAACATCATGTAAAATGTAGTTATATAAGTGTTAAGTGTGAACCTAGCAAATATATTTCAACAAAATGGGGTGGCCTCAAGTCCCCCAACCGTGTTTTAATTTATTTATTTGATTTATAGAGTTAGTAATTTTCTGGCCAAATTCTAGCGGTTATTTTGTAATTTAACTAAAATTGTTTTTAACTAATGATTTAAATAATTCAGTGATAATTTTTTTGTTGAAAATAAAAAATATTAAATTTAAATTACGTGATATACAAATGATATGAGATAAAAAATAAAAAAAAACGTCATCCCTCGTTATACAATTAACATAAAAAAAAAACCCAAAATTGCTTTTCAATAGTCTCGTTTCTTGGTAATTTATTTTTTAAATAGTCAATGCAGGAGTTTGGTGAGTGCACTCTAGTTTTTCATTCGGGTTTCCATCATATTTATTGGACAATTGAAAAATCGGAGTTGAAGATACTAATCCACAGGTGATGGGTGGCCAACCCAGGTTGGTGGTGAGGCTTTTTGGCTTTTTCATTAAAAAAAAATAAAAAGAAGAGAGGAAAAAAAACATGGTACGGTACCAACTCATGGAGGCTTATACATCGATTTCCATGGACTCACAATTGCGCCCATGTCTTTATCCCTAAAATTCTATTAGTCATATCTCAGAGTAAAAATAAGAATAAAAATGTGTCACTTGTTCTGTTACATCTTGACCCTCTTCATCTTCCATGATGAAAACAGATCCTAACAGCCAAAAAATACTCTCCGTTTCTTAATTCCCCGATTAGCCAAAAATAGAAATTCACATCCAGAAACCATTAGAATTCTATCGATTGGAACCTCTTAAAAATCACCCATACTCTTCTCAATTAACCCAGTCAAAACCTTTTTTTTTTTTAAATTTAATCCCCAAGTCTGCAACTCCATCTAACCAAAGAAAGAAGAAGAGAGTTTAACTTTCAAGAAAATATTACCTTCAATCCATAAACCTTTAATTGCAAGAGTCCAAGAGAGTATTTGAACTACGCTTTCTTTTTGAGTTACGTGATTGTCCTTTTAACTGAACAAACTACTCTTCATTTAAATCCACTTTTAAAGTAAATGAACTTGAATCCCCGAGCTTAATTAACAAAAATGTCATAGGTTGAACTTAGTAAAAATAATATGTATAAACCCATGATAACATTAAAATTAAACTCCAATATTCCAAATTACAATCAAATATTTTTCAATTAATTATAAAAAATTTATGACCACTTGATTTTCATGTGAACAAGTGGGTATTATCTTAAAAAATTACTAATTGTGTTAGAAACACCCCTATAATTTACTTTTAATAAATTGTACGTGTAGTTCAAAATTTGTTTTTGACTTTGTAGATATTTAGATAATTTAAAATTTGATTAAAGAAAATAATATACTTGTAATATAGCATATCATTATAAACTTATAATAAAATATATTATTATATAATTTACTATTTTTACTTAAAAATTTATTTGTGATATTGTATATATTTATTCATTTAATGATACATTACACTCACTTAATATAAGATTATTATTATAAACTTATAATTTTATATATTACTGTACTTATAGGATTACTATCTTATGAACTTTTCATAATTAAGTATTAAAATAATATATTTATTCTTGATAAAATTTCATCATCTTTATAAATAAATTAGAGTAATAGAATTAAAATTAAAATAATAATATTTATTTAATATTTATGTGACCCCGCGTCTCATATCAATAAGAAAAATGAGTGTGATTGATATATAAATATAAAAATTAACTATTACTAATAAATTGATCTTAAGCTTTTAGAGGCCCTGAACTTTGATCTTAAGAGTTTTTGTGATCTAAAAATGAGAATAATTTTATTTTCAATCTCAAAAAAATATGCAAATAAATATATTAATTTTGTACCATTTTTTAAATATTAATTTTGTCAATTTTAGAATAAAAATATTATTTTTTTTATTTTTCATTTAAAAATATCAACTTTTAACATTTTAATTAAAAAATTTATTTGCTACATTATTATTATCATTTAATTAATTCTTAAATAAAAATAAAAATTAATATTTTTAAATAAAAATAAAAATTAATATTTTTAAATAAAAAATTAAAAATGATTACATTATTAAATTAAAAATTAAAAATTAATATTTTTTTTTTAACATATTTTGCAATGGCAGGTTTTGAACCCTGCCGGGGGAGGGGGAATGCACCGGTGGCTATGTCACTAGGTCTTAAGGACTAGGTGTAATTAAAAATTAATATTTTTAAATAAAAAACAAAAAATTAATATTTTTATCTACACTTTTCGTCTTCCAATCTCCGTGAAAAATTTTGGTTGATTCAAGGGTTTTTAATCATTTGACATTTTGACCGCAGCCAGCGTCGGTCGTGTTTCAAGGAGGATAGAAAACGTTACAGCATCAAATATGAGTGATTTCATGACGGTCGGTCATACCAAAACAGGGCACGGGGGAGCGGAATATCGGCATGTGCATCTGGGGTTGTCTGGATCTATGTCACTATTAGGAAAATTGGTGTACCTCACATCTGATCTGTTACAAAATTGTACTCTTTTTTTTTTTCTTATTACTATTATCTTGAATTGTATATGAGGGTGAATCTTTTATCTTCTTTTTAAATTTTAAGCAACAGTCATGTGACTTAAATATAAATTTTTTTTATGGAAAGTAAATTTTTATTAACAACTATGTAGTTGGATCAATTTATAAAAAAAAATTATTTTATACGTTCGATTTAAATTTAAATTTTAAAGTAAATATTTAAAAAAATTAAACTTTCAAAATATTACATTATTATAGTAATGTACCTTTAAAATGCCTAAAGTTAATCTAAAAATTAATTTCAATATATGTAAGAATTAACATGAAGATACTCGACTTATATTATCCAAACCTAAAAATAAAAAAATTTATCATAGACCACTTTAGTTGTTAGCTACAAAATGTAGTTGGCTTAACAGAGGTTTTTTTTTTTGGTTGGGAGGGGGGGGGGTGTTGGGGGCGTTTGTGTTTTTTAATCAACACTTCATATTATGGATCATGTTTAAGTTAATGTCAATGAAGGTCAATTTAAACATTAAAAGAAAAAAAAAAAAACTTTGAGAGTTCAATTATATTTTCTTACAAGTAAAAGGAATGGTCATCTTTCGCTTTTCTTCTGCAGGAAATGAACTAACCTTGAATTTTCTCAGAAAATGACTGGTTTTCAAATGTATCCATTTGATTAATTAATTATAGCAGACACTGTTCAAAGGTTGTTGTTGCAGGCCACCTTTACGATTAAAATACTAGTGTGGAAAAAAGAAAATATTCTTAGAGTTGTTGGGGTTGGTGTGTTTGGTGAGATTGGCTGCTAAGTAGCAAAATGGTGGCATCCCACATAACATTTTATTAAGTAGAAGTTCATTCTGATTAATTAACTGTTGAGATGGAAATTATGGAACGTGGGGGTTTTGAAACTTGAAGGTGTGATCCAACCCCAATGGTGTGCTGGAAAAAGGCTCAAGTGGTGAGTCCTTTTCAAGAAGGGCTGAATGGGGTTGGTGTGGTTGAAATGACAATAATGCCATTTCACCAACCCTTAAACCCACCAACTTCTTTGCAATACCTTTTCTCCATCATTAGCTCCTAGTATTTACCAACCTTTAACAAGGACATTCATCACGGTCAAGTTAGGAATAGAATAACATTTTTCTTTTTCTTTTTGGATAAGCATATCATGCATCATTTTAATTGGAGTTTTTAAAAAAACGCAAAAGGTATTGTTAAAATATCATAAACGAAAGGTCTTGTTGCAATACTAGAAAGCTTCCTCTATATGTAAATTTTGTATGATTTAAGTTTTAGCATTCAATTTTAGTTCATAACTTCCAAGCCTCTAATCATGAATTATGCAATTTGTTAATGAGTCAATATTTAGAATAGACATAGTACTCCCATTAAAACATTTTATATTTACTAAAATCTAATGTTAAAATAAAAGTAACCTCACATGTATATAATTACTCAATTAACCTATCGTCGTATTACTTACCAAATCTTATATCAAAGGTAATACCAACTCAAATTAAAGAGACCAACAAGCATATATGGTTACATAAGTTGTGTGAATCACACATTAACATCATGCTTTATTTAGCAAGTAAAGTAGTTTAAGGACACAAATAATTTTAAAATAAATTATGGTCACTAAAAGATGTAAGCAAACTAAGTTGAGGGGCCAACTAATGAGATAATTTCAGCAAGCTTAAACCCACCACACACTTCCAATCATCTGAAATCGTCAACTTTAAAAAGGGATAACCAAGAAGGCCATTTCGGTCATTTCATTAGCAAACCTAAACTCTTTTAAAACCCTGTCACCAGCTCCGTTTTCCACCTGTGCTCTCTCCTTTCCTCCATTTCTCACTTACCCTACCCTGCCGGGATCTCTCTCGCCGGAATCCATGGATCCAGTGAACGTGTGGGGAAACGCTTCCCTAGACACCGTGGACCCTGAAATCCATGACCTTATCGAGAAGGAGAAGCGCCGCCAATGCCGGGGCATCGAGCTCATCGCCTCCGAGAACTTCACCTCCTTCGCCGTTATTCAGGCCCTTGGTAGCTCTCTTACTAACAAGTACTCCGAGGGCCTGCCCGGGAACCGTTACTATGGAGGAAACGAGTTTATCGATGAGATCGAGAATCTCTGCAGGTCTCGCGCTCTCCAGGCCTACCGCCTTGACCCCGCCAAGTGGGGTGTCAATGTCCAGCCCTACTCGGGTTCTCCCGCCAATTTCGCCGCCTACACGGCGGTCCTCCAGCCCCACGACAGGATCATGGGACTTGATTTGCCATCCGGTGGTCACCTCACTCATGGCTACTATACCTCCGGTGGGAAGAAGATCTCGGCTACCTCCATTTACTTCGAGAGTCTGCCTTATAAGGTGAACTCAACTACTGGGTACATCGACTATGACAGGCTGGAGGAGAAGGCCATGGATTTCAGGCCTAGGCTCATTATTTGCGGTGGCAGTGCGTATCCCAGAGACTGGGATTACGCCAGGTTCAGGGCCATCGCCGACAAGGTTGGCGCCCTTTTGTTATGTGATATGGCTCACATTAGCGGTCTCGTTGCTGCTCAGGTATGTTTTGATATGTAGGATCTGGATTTTGTTCTGATTTTTCTTGCATGAAGTGGGTTTGTGGTGTTGAATCTGATTTTCAATTTGTATTCTGATTCTCTAAATGGATTGAATCTGGGTTGTGGGATTTAACACCATTTCTAATTTCTGGAATTGTGTTTAGCTAAATCTTAGTACTTTTGCTGTCTGTTAAACAGGATGCAAAGAGCTGTGTTTCAGACTCTGGAAGTTTTGGTTTTTTTCTTTTATTCTTATTGAGATTTGTAGTGCTAGTGTATCTTTGATGTGGGAAAATTTTACTGGATGAATCTACAATCTTTTTATGATTGATGGTATTCTAACATGGGATCTTGAACTAGTTCACTTGTAAATGACTTTTTTCCCATAACAAACTGGTATTATTAGATAGGCAGGTTCGTGCTATTTTTACACACAAAGTCTGTCAGATATAGAAGGATAAAGCATGCATTACTAGATACTCAGGGTACCATATCTACAATATATGGTATGGATTTTAAAATTGCTTATTAAATTTATTGGTGGCTGTAGGAAGCTGCAAACCCCTTTGATTACTGTGACATTGTCACGACCACAACCCACAAGAGCTTGAGAGGTCCAAGGGCTGGCATGATCTTCTACCGCAAGGGACCTAAACCACCCAAGAGGGGCCAACCAGAAGATGCAGTGTATGACTTTGAAGACAAGATCAACTTTGCTGTTTTCCCCTCTCTGCAGGGTGGTCCCCACAATCACCAGATTGGTGCTCTGGCTGTTGCTCTGAAACAGGCTATGACACCGGGGTTCAAGGCCTATGCTAAACAGGTCAAGGCAAATGCAGTCGCCCTTGGAAACTACCTGATGAGGAAGGGGTACAAACTTGTCACTGAAGGAACTGAGAACCACCTTGTTCTTTGGGATCTTAGACCCCTTGGCCTGACTGGTAAGTCAATGCAATAACTTGGTCTGAGGTTCTAGATTGGGATTTAATTGATGCAATTCTGATGCATTGCCATTATTCTTCAAGGCAACAAGGTTGAGAAGGTTTGTGATCTCTGCAACATCACTTTGAACAAGAATGCTGTGTTTGGTGATAGCAGTGCCTTGGCTCCTGGTGGAGTACGAATTGGTAAGATCTTCATAAACTGAATTATCTTCCTTGGTTACTCTGCATCATTGTCTTGGCTTTCAAATATACAAACTGGAAGCTATGAAAAGAAATTTGAAAATTAAATTTGGGATCAAGTGGCTTGGCTACCAAAACATTATCAACTACAAGTTTGAAACAAAAGGAAACAAGTCTGATTATCATCCTGGGTATTCTTTCACTTACCTTGAATGTGTAGAATCTATTGCAGTGGAATTGTATGGTATTTGTAAAGGTTTGCTCATCCATTTTCTTCAAAATTTAATGAGTTGCTGCTGACAGGTGCCCCTGCTATGACTTCAAGAGGTTTGGTTGAGAAGGACTTTGAACAGATTGGAGAGTACCTTCACCGCACTGTGACAATTACCTTGAGCATCCAAAAGGAGCATGGAAAGCTCTTGAAGGACTTCAACAGGGGTTTGGTGAACAACAAGGATATTGAGCAACTGAAGGCCGATGTTGAGAAGTTTTCATCCTCATTTGACATGCCTGGCTTTCTGATGTCTGAGATGAAGTACAAGGATTAAATCCAAGGATACCAAAATTTACAAGTATACATTGTCAGCCTGGCTCTTCAAAAATTTTCTTAATTTGATTTGATTACCGCTGAGTTATGGGGAAACGGTGGTCTTTGATATCTTAGGTTAGTGGTCAATTTCCACATGATGTTTGGTTGTTGCTCATGTATTAAATTCTAATAATAAAATGTTATTATCTGGAATTCAATTATTATCTGGAATTCAAAATATCACAGTACTGTGTCAAGATTGACATGAACCAAACACCCTTGGGCTAAAATCAACTTTACACCTAAGTTTTGAAAATTAATTTTACATAATTCTAACTGTTCATCCCTCTAGCATGAATTATTGAGATTTTATTCAATTTTTATCTGATTTTTTTTTTAAGTTCATAATCTTTCCATCTAAAAAGTTACCATGATGAATCTCAATTAGTGAAAAATTAATTGTTATAATTTTGTGTAAGGGAATTCTATCTCGACACCTTTTCATGAGCGTTGTATTCTAACATACTCCCAAGGATTGAGACGGCTCACCTTTGCAATGCCATTCCGTGGAGTTTGTTTTCATGGTGAATAACACTTGTGTTTCCTTTCCATCTAATTCCAGTTACCTCTCCCACATAAAAGATGAAAGTGTGACACGGTTATCCCTCTTGGCTGGTTGTCTATTCTCTATGGATGAGTAGCCAACTGCAAAAGATATTTCTCTTGATCATTCCTCAATAAAAAAAACAATCCCCAATGAAAGTGCTTTCATTGCTTGGACCTGCAGCTAGTGATTATTGTCTTGTTTTGGAGTCGGGGAAACCCACACCTGAATATTTCGAGTCTAATGTTCCTGGAATTGCAGATGGTTCCTTAGGAAGGGGTAATGCTCGGAGATCAATTCGTACATTTTTTGTCGCTTCAATTAGTACGGCAATCTTATTTCTTAGCCACACAATTTGCCATTGTAACTATCATGTGTATTTTGATGAAGGACTTTTTGTACGTCCAAATGAAGTATGCAATCCCTTTGGAAAGTCCGGCCAATAATTGCCACCATACATGCTTTCAATGATCAAATTGGGGGTTCCATCTGCATCTTCTTCATTTTTTTCCTTATAAAAAGGCATATCAAACCATTGAAACCAATTCTCCAAAATCTACCATTTTGTGCAAATTAATGCAATGTAGTGGAATTGGCATTTTTTGCTCAAAACATTCATCTGGGGATGCATGAAGCATTCGTTTTACTTCCCAGCTTCATCAATAGGAGAAAATACTTGCCGACAAACAAACACTTGTTCAGTACAGTTCTTTAATTTAATTACAAGGACTATAGGACATCCTATATTAAAGAAAAAATAATAATAATAAAATATTTTACAATTTAAATTATATCAAATTGTATTTAAATTATAAAATATGACTCTTAAAAAAATTCTTTAAGCATTGAGAGTAAATTGAAAATGCTCTCACTGTAAATAAAATCAGGAGTATTGATTCTGGACTCAAAGCGGTCCGATTGCCACGACTAGTCCAGTGAAGAAGAACGGATGAAATGTAAGATTTGAAAATTTAAGAATGAAGTATCAAAGTGGTTGCAAATTAAAGGCCACCCAGATTCAATCTTTAATTAGAACAACATGGTTGGATAGGGGATAGGCATGGCCAAAAAACAAGAATTAGATTGGGGATGGGCATGGATATTATATATCCCCATGTGATAAAGAGACCGACGTCTCACGAAATGATAAGTGGGAGTCCCAAAAATAAGGAAAATAACGTGCCCTAGGGGGAGAGGCCAGCTTCATTCATCTTATCTTCCTCTCGGCCCCTACCAGTACCATCAACCCTACCCATGGAAAAGAAGGTAACACCAACACCTATGGGACCTGTGCCCAACACTGTAAAACCCATGCTGATCAAAAAAACCAAGCCCATTAGGCTCTAACATAAGATATATTTACTTAAATCACTTCCTCATTCGAGCCCTCTTGCTTTCTCTTTTCCCATAATGTTATTTTTTTTTTTATTATAGTTAGTTGTTTGTCAATATGAGATTTAAATTTTCAACTTTAATTTTAAATAAAATTTTTTTAATTTATAAATAACAATTCAGCTAAGTTTTTATTGGTAAGACACTAAATATGTTTGTCTCAAGATTCCACCTTCCATTTTATTTTTATAGGGTTATTCATATTGGTCAATATTAGTCAACACCCACTTACGATCACACCTTTGCATTTCATTGGATCACATCCTATTGACTAATTGTATGCTATCATCATTCAAGTTTAGAGTAAAAACAATTGTGACTTATCCAAATTACCTTAATTAAATATATTTTCTTCTTTTGTTTTTACTTTTTCCTTTCACCCCAAAAATGGATGGATCTCTTTGTTTTTGAGGGATAGATCCATGATCCCTTCCCTCTTTTCATTTTTTTTTTTTAAATTGAAAATGACTTGGGAAACTGCCCTTCAAATTGAGCAAAATTACAACATTGCCATAGCAATAAATTTTGTTAATCACTAGTAACGTGGCTCTTCAATCACAAGAATTTTTTTTTTTTTATCTTGATTGTATAATGGAAGGTAATCATTTTTCATTCTTATTCCACTTCACTCACATGTTATGCAACTCGAATTCAGGATCTCTTACTTCTACTAGAATAAAATGACCACTGAATTACTTAAATCGTTAACTTTAATCACAAGATTAATTAATTATATAATACCAAAAATATAATAGTTGGCGCGTTAGAGTCAAAATGAATCCGTCGAACTTTAATTATTTGATATCAGATTTTGTTACAAGGGAAACTAAAATGGAGAGGCTACTAAAGATCCTAGACTTGAGGGGAAAAAAATATTGAAGCTTCGGATCAAGAACATACACATGGTGGCGGTGGTAGCGGGTCAGTTTTGAGTTAATTGAGAAATCTCCCATGTTCACACCAAACTCGATCGGAATCTCTTATTTTTTATTTTGTTTTGGAATATTGAACATAAAAGAATATTTTATAGTCATGCTACATTAACTATAAAATATTAATCAATGGATTAAAGAGTGGCCTTTATTAATATTGTTGACTCTTCGATTTAGTAATTGATATTATATAATTTAAATTATAAAATTTTAATTTTATTATAAATAATTGTTCAATATTTCATTTCTAGATCTTAAAAAGAAATCTAGAAATGAAATTATTCTTATAATTATGATCTTTATTTATTTATCCAAAATTTCATTAGAAAGAGTAGAGGTCATCCCAACATATTATCACCCCTTTTTTTTTCTGTTTATTGGTTAGGGTGGCCTTCTTATTTGAGGGCACCCACCCTACACTAACTCAGAGGTCAACATTTAGGAGTTTTATAAATAGTTACAAAAATTGTTAGTTTTAATTAAATAAATTAAATGTTTTTAATAAATAATAATAAATATTAATTGTTATATATTAATTTTTAATTATTAATTATATTTTAATAGTAATTTAAATCCTCTTTTCCTATATTAAAAGAATTGTTTTATTGAGTACTATATATATATATTCAAGATTTGAATCTTGAATTTATTGCCATTTATTATCACATGATTTAAACTCTTGGAAGTATGTAATTATGATTTTTGAATAATAAAGAAGACTTTTTTTTGTGGTGGTGATGAATAATAAAGAAGATAATAATGATTTTTAAAAGAAGTCACAATTAGAAATGATTTTGGTCATATTCACTATAACTATTGGAACATTAATTCAAGATTGATTTCATTGAACCGCCCTACATTGAACCGCCCTACAAAATTTACCGTCCACCATATATATCAATATATGTGAAGCCTAATAACTTTTACATCATTAATTAATTTCTGTTGTCAACGACTTAAATAATTCAGTGATAATTTATTTTTTTTAAAAATAAAAAATATTGAGTTTGAGTCGCATGACATGCGAATGAGGTAGGATAAAATATGTGAAAAAGTTATTTCTCATTATGCAACTAACATTAAAAAAAAAATTCTGTTAAAAAAAATAGTAAACCAAAGTTGTATATATGGTTTTTGGTCTATCTCTTCTAATTAGTGGACTTCCCACATGTTTGTTTCGAGGTTGGTTTCGAGGTTGGTTCGTTGACAAATTCGATCATAGTAGTACCACTAATTTTTTAAAGCAAAACATATTAATAATAATACTATTAGTTGCGACCTGAATAAATCATGCATTAATCTACTTCGTTCTTAGAAACATCGTGAGGGGACATGGGACGGAGACTTATGCTATATATTCTCTAATTTTTAATTGCTTAATGTAGTTAGAAACAAGTTAGCTGGTTACTGGTAAATTGGCAAATTCCAAATTTCTGGACTGAATTTATGTGACTTGATATATATAGATACTTTTTAGCTTAGTGTATTTTATAATATATTTATTAAAAAATTATTTTTAAATTTAAATTAAAAATAAAAAGTTTACAATTATAAATTTTAATTTTTTTTAACATATTACAATTTTTAGAGGAAGGACATTCAAACTTTAACCTTAAAATTGAAGGTGCATCTCAAAATAAAATATATAATTATTAGGTTACAAAATTTCAAGTGTTATAAATTTTAATTATTAAATCAAAAAATATGTTAAATTGAAGGGTATCAACTATTTTCTTTTCCAATTACATGATCACATTATGAGCCACAACAATACAGCAAGGGATACTTCTGAAATAATCACTAAAATAAAGGGTATTATCACACCACATTTAATGCTATAGCCTATTTTTCCATCTACAGCAGAGCAACCCTTCCTGCTTCTTCTTCATGCTCTTTATAATCTACTCTCTACACTGCAACACCTTCAGGGCTCATATCTTCAATTCTTGAATACATAACTGAGCCCTTCATTTTTCCCTGTGGTCATCCTTTTTGCTGCAGGAATAAATTAAGAATGCCGCCTCCACCGGACACCAGTAAAACAATCAAGTTAGAGCGCTACAACAGCTACGTCCGCAAGCTCCAGAGTACGAAATTGATTAATGCCTCCTCCAAGCTCCTCTTCCGGATCACCCTCCTCATAGCTCTAGTCCTCATCTTGTTTTTTACGATCAACTATCCTCCGCTCTCTGACACCTCCAATCCCCAACCTCACCACCACCACAGCTTCCTCTCCACCTCCATCTTCTCAGGTGGTTCTGCTTGGGAGAAGCAGGTCCGCCATTCCTCCACTCCTCGCC